TAGACGATTTTGATTATTAAAATACAATGTTTAATGTAACTTGTCGAGATACTAGAAAAAGTCATGGGCCGTCGTGCTCAGTAACAATATCCAAATTTACTAACAAAATGTAGGTGGCATAATATCCCCAAAAAAAAAAGCAAGATTTGCTTTTATTTGAGTTGTACGAAAAGTAGAATGAGATTGATATGACTAATGAACACTCACTTAAAGAGTAAGTAGGCGTAACACTTGGATATATGATAATTGGCTAACATATGATAATGATATGAACCATATGCAGCAATCATGTTTTTGATACAACCATGACATACATATATAACGTTGCAGCAATCATGCTACTATTAAAGATAATGACATAGCTAGCTAGCTAATCTAATATTCAAATTTGACTAAGATAATCAAAAGTCAAGGGTTTAAACACATGAGCAGCCTCTCTCTCTATGAACTCCAACTGCTCTTTGAAGATGTGCATGTACACAATCCAGTCACCTTTCCTAGCCGGACTCGGCATTGGCATCACATACCCGGCATTGCCGCCCCACGGGAAATGGTACGACCCGAAAACCGGCAGCCCCCACCCAAAATCCACCTTCAAAACTGGAAATCTTTGCCCCGATGACACGACAAAAGCGGGCCCCTCTTCACTCCCACTGCAGTATATCTTGGCCAAGGCTGGCACCGGTCTATGAGCCTCAACCCAATCTATTAACCCCAAAAAATGCTCCTTTGTTACAGCACATTTCAAAAAATCATGGACTTCATCAGCTACCCAATTCAACGACTTTTCAACTAGGTCTTCCACTTTTTCCCCCCCAAATGGAATGGATAGCACATTTCCAAAGTAGGTAGCCATATGTGAGGCTTGGTGACTTTGGTAATTTCCTCGCTCACTTAATCTTGTTCGTCCATCAACAACAATGCCCATTTTGCATAACTTTTGGGCACAACCAATTTTAGTGTCAGATTTAGCCACCATCTTCCACAAGAATGCACAAAACGACTCGAGCTTGGTCCTTTTGAACCCATTGGAGCTTGCAAGGGCTTGCAGATTATCAAGTTGCTCTGCTGTGACGTAGTATATGCGGCTGATGAGATGGTCTTGGTCAACATCAGTGTCATTTTTGGGAGGTGGCAGAGCTGTGATGGGCACGTACATGTCGTTTAGGGAGGGATCAATGTGACCAGGACGACGAGGGTTGAGCAAAGAACGACGAAAAGTTGGTAGCAGAGAGAGTGATTTTGACTCAGCCATCTCAGCCCATGAGACCAGAAACATGTTGGTCGAGTAGGCATCTGCTATGCGATGATCAAACG